GGATTTATTTATTTCGTCATGGTTTTAATTAGCATGAAAATCTCCCTGATCTGCAAAATCCCGGATTCAAGGAAAAAAAATTAAACCGCAGAAGAGGACTCCTTACGCTCGTTTTGTATTTGGCTAAGCAGAAACCCCCGTCCTTCCCAGAACTGGAGATCTGGAATTAAGCATTTAATCCAGAGAACTGGGGAGAGGGGCTCACGCACGAATCTTCTTCTTCAAAGACGCGTGAATGTTCCCGCCCGCTCCCTTCCGGGCGAGACATAAGGGAATATCTTAGAGCAGGGGCGATGTTGCTACGCCAGCACGACTGGCGACTTCCGGAGGGTTTGCTTTCCCGCACTGGGGGAAGGCGAGGGGCGAGGCTGACGGCGAAGCTCTGGAAGGAAGGGGCGGGCGAGGCCGGGCAGCCCAGCTCCTGGGGAGGAAAAAAACCGGTCGGCAGGCGCGGAGGGAGGCCGCGTCCCAGCAAAAGCCGAAGGCGGGGGGCGAACGCCCGTTCCGAGTCTGCTTCCCGGAGCCTTCCTTTTCATAGCTGAAGGCCGGATTGAGAGGTGAAAAGCAGGGCAATGCTGCTCTCTCCTTAAAGGGGGCTCTGCGGGAAGAACATATTTCTTCGAAAGAGCGAGTGGGGTAAACTAGGATGCTCTGGGGCGTGGGAAGACTGGGATGTAGCGCAAGAGAAGCCAAAGTGTGATGCACGCGCTCAGAGGCTTGCCCGGCTCTTACCGCGCTTTTTTCCGCCCTTAGCTTGCTTATCCGTTCGCTCGTCTGGCGCGTTACCCGGGAAACTGGAGCTCGGCCAACTATCTGCTTGCAGGTACAATCGTAAGCCTGCTCCTTCGACCGCCCCCTTAAATCAGAGACTTACATTTTTCTCTCTCCCCCCCCGCCCCACCTCCTGCAAGCATTTCAGTGCTAGGTAAACGTTTTCGCCGTAGCGGATGTCGGATTCTGCGTCCCCTCCTCTTGTGTGTAAAATGAGAGCCTTTACTACCAATATTGAAACGTTGATTTAGTAGCCGTGAATCCCGAGTGCTGACCTTTCTCCACTTAAAAAAAAAGACCTTGGTATTCTACTATAAAATTACTACTAGGTTGAGAGCCTGATCTTACTCAGCATTTAAATTTGCCTGTGAGATGTATATTTCACCAGTCTTAAAGCTTCACTAACTCCTGAACCCTCAGTAGCCAATTTATTTGGGTTGCCAGCTTCTGCCAGGCCGCCTCTGCTTTTAACAGCTGCAATTTACAGAGGAAATATATGGATTTTTTCTTTTTGGTAATCAAAGATATTATGATAGAGGAAACTTCAGACTGGATTTTTGTATACAATTATAAGGACCTTGACAATGATATCTCACTGGAAAAACCTACCCATTAAAGGCATGGGGTAAACCTCCCTCCCTCCAAAAACACCTGCTACTCCAAATAAAACATAGAGTGAGGCCATAGCTCAATGGCGGAGTGCTTTTGCAAACCATGATGTATTCATTGTGTTAATTCCAACCATTGTGGCTTAGTCAATAAACTATGGCTAAAATAAACCTTTAAGGCCATGTGTGAATATAGCCACTGTGGTTTATGGGCCATAGTTCATGGCATAATGCAATATATGGATCCAAGTAATTGTGGCATATTCAAACCATGGTTAAAATAGAATGTTCATTACCATGATATCTGAACATAGAATGTAGGTAGGTCTAACATATATGGGCTGCAAAAATCCAAATGGTCACCAAATGGCAGCAAAGAGAAAGTAACTCTGCCATCTAATAACAGTTCACATTTTTTGCAGTCCAGATTTGATCATCTTAGTATAAGGCAACTTCTTATGTTTCCTAATTTCCATTTAGATCTTTCTCAGCTTAGAACAATCTTGTTAAGACACTTTGGATATTTTAAATTATTAGTTAAATTACACAAGCCTACTGTATTTCACTGGAGGAGATAATCCAGGCAGGCCATTATTCTCCTTTATTTATGCCATTCATTGCCACCTTTTCTGCACAGGCACCTTTTTCTCTGAGTTTGCCCTCACAGAGGATTTCTGAGAACAGACAGATTTTTCTTACCAGAGGTGTAATATGCAGAAGATTTTTAAAATTATGTTAAGGCCTCTTCCAAAACACTATGTGTGTTTATTTTAAAGTTCTCATATCTGCAGCTGGATTTTCTTTTAAAAAATTGTTCCTACATTTCTCCAGAATAAAATGAGATTCAGCAATAAAGTAAATAGACATTCAAAGGTTGTGTTAATATAGGGAGCTGTCAGCTGGTGCCAAGCAAACATCAACATTTATAAAAACCACTTTGTTCCAGCAAAGGTGTTCAAGTAAGGGATAAAAGTAGCAAAATAAACCTAGTCATCTGGTTTGTGTACAATTTTAATTGATTTACATGTTTGAAGAAATTACTGAAAAAGGTACATTTCAACTTTACTGAGGAAAATAGAGGCTCTTAATTATAAATATAATAAATAATAAAAAATTCTGAGCTCAGCTCCAGGATGTTTCAAAATAGTACGTTTGCCTCCTCACTCTGAGACTGACATAATAATCTTCCTGCATGATGCTCGTAAACTTCCTGAACAGAGTTATTAGATGCCTGTTTTCCATCATGTTGGAGAAGGGGCACTAGGACATCCAATTTTCCGCTGACAGGTCTAATTCTCAGGGTCTGTTCTGTACATTGCCTCTTCAGTGTATTTTGAGAAAATAATGGATTTGAAATGAGATCCAAGTGAATGCTAGCAAAAAAATTAGCTTTAATATTGATGAAATGCTAGAACATAGGAAACATTTCCTTTTTCTTATTCCTTTCTTTGTGAGTTATTTATACATGATGTATAATTTGTGGTTGAGGGATTCATTTAACCCTGGTTAGAGGCACTGGTGTGGCTATTCTAACAATGCTCTAGCAAGGCTTCCAAAATGAGCTATTGTCCCATACCAAGCAAATTGGCTCATTTTCAGTGAAATGCAGGAGTCCTTGGGCCTTTCCCATAACTGAAGTGTTTTCCATCCATCCCTGAGCTGGCAGAAAATTACCAGCATGAGATTATCTGTCTCCACTGCCAGTTCCTACCCTGCATCTATTTCCTCTGCTCCCAGTTACTGCAATCCCTTGACTTTCTTCCAATGTATCAGTGTTGGTACAATATTCCTTCTAATGGGTGGCAAAGTCTAACAGATTGTATACATTTTAGGCTCCCCTTGGATACTATCAAAATAATATTGCCTGAACATTGATAGGGCTAAAGATGAGCCCAGTGGGCTCAGTAGGAGATGAAGACAATGCCATGCAGGTCAGAAAAAAAGGTGGTCTTGGCATGGTTAGGGGCAAATGGGGAAGGGCTGCAGCTTGAAGTTCCAATTACATTTGTTGAGATGTTTTAAATACAAGAAATTCATCCCTAATATTGGGTTGTATTTTTTTAAAGCTAACACGCTTCCTAATTTTATTATGAAATCTTTTTGTAATCTCAATTTACTGTCTCAGGCAATTGACACTTGTAAGAAGACAAAGCAGCACTTGAAAACACCACTACAAAATACTATTAAAAACTCAGACAGCTCTATTTTGCTTTTCAATATTATGAAATGCCCATATTTAATAGAAATATATTCTGTTGTGTTCTGTATTGGAATGATTGAAGTAAAATAAAAGCATGGATAAAAAATGGAAAACACCTAAAATCTTTAGTCTATATTATTTGAAACCTATCATCTCAGATAAATATAATTAAAAGAAACTCTCCTGAGAAATTTTTCACAACTGACTTCCAATAGTAAACAGTTATGAATATTTCAGTATTTTGGTATGCTGTCTATTAAAAACATCAATAATTTTACTCCTTCCCAGGTATCCATACCAACCCTTAAAACTTCTGATTGGTTGACACTGTAATTGCGAATCATTCACTAAATCATAGTTAAAGCATGGCTTTGCATGATGTTTGAACCAGCCTCTGTACATGGCTGTAGTTGGGGAATCTTGGAGTCCTAGTAAAAGCAAAAGAGATACCTCATGGATGGAGTCTGCCTACTTCTAGCTTACAGTAACTACTTCACTAATGAATTGAGAGTGGGGGGCTTCTACCTCTGTCTGCCAAAGCCCTTGCATTTGTAGCAGGTGCAGGTTCAGGTCAACCACTCTGCTTGAAGACTGGGGCGACTGATGTCGGGATGAGCTGGAAACCTTTCTCCCTCTCCGTTCCTAGCAAATTTAGCTAGAGATTCATTCCTCTGAAATAT